GACCGCATTTTCGTGTCACTCAGGTCTGTATCGCTTCTCAAGAATGCCCTTCGGGCTAACCAACGCGCCAGCGACGTTCCAGAGAGCAATGGATATCCTGCTCTCTCCGTTCCGTTGGAAATGCTGTTTGGTGCATCTGGATGACATAATAATTTTTAGCAAGTCGTGGGAGGAGCACATCGTGCACGTGGATGAAATACTTTCTGTATTGGAGAAGGCAGGTGTGAAGCTCAAGCTTCGCAAGTGCGAATTTTTCGTCGAAAAGATCAAGTACCTGGGCCATGTCGTTCGGCCAGGTACATTGGAGGTTGATGTCGCGCGAACCACTGCGTTGGAACAAGTGCGGTACCCTCAAACGCAGACCCAGCTCAGAAGCTTCTTGGGACTTTGTAATGTGTACCGTCGGTTTGTCCCACATTACGCGAAAATCGCGCATCCGCTCAATCAACTATTGAAGAAGGGACAACCGGTCCAGTTGGAAGGATTTGACGAACCGTGCGAAAAAGCGTTTCATAAGCTCAAAGAAGCTATCTTGGCGCCACCGGTGTTGGCGCTGCCGAAGAAGGACCTACCCTACTCGGTAGATACCGATGCAAGCGACTATCAAATCGGCGCTGCATTATTTCAAACGCATCCGGATGCGCAACGTAAACCCATCGGGTTCTTTTCAAGAACGTTAGCCGCAGCCGAGAGAAACTATTCTGTATCAGAAAAAGAATGTCTAGCGGTAATTTGGGCCGTACAGACTTTAAGACCATATCTATATGGCGAGCACTTCATTGTGCATACCGTCCATGCCTCATTGAGGTGGTTGATGAACGTAACCGGCCCCAGCGGGAGATTAATCCGATGGAGGCTCCGCCTCTCGGAATTTGATTTCGAAATCAAGTACAAGAAGGGCAAGGCTAACAGGCAAGCTGATGCCCTGTCAAGATTACGGACCGCAGGAGAAACCGTCGACGAAATCGACGACGATATCCCATGCTTTATGGCCGAACCAGCCGAGGGTACAGTGGAGGACGAGGACAGTTTTGACGCGTTAGACGACATCCTCGCTCTTGAGGGGGGGACCGCCCCTGATCGCCTCGATCAATTCCAAGCTGTCACTCCGGAGGAGCTCATTCGCGAGCAAGCCGTAGACCCCTTCTGCAACCGCATCAAGGAAGAAATGGACGCCGGAAAGGTGAGAACGATCAGCATGGAGACCGAGGAACTCGGAGGAACTCTATGCCGTACCGCGGCGGAGTTTGTTCAAGTGGTGATACCACAACCGTTAAGGGACCGCGTCCTAGGGTTAAGCTATTACGCAAAATTGGCAGGACACCGGGGAGGCAGGAAACTTTACAAGACATTGAGAAGATATTTTACTGGCCTACGATGGCCCTAGACTGCTATGCAGTCGCGAAGAATTGCGCCGCATGTGCGCGGGAAAGGGTGAAGTTAAGAAGAAACACGAAGGAAATGAAGCTGTTCACGCCCAAAGCTCCGCTGGAGTATGTCGCCATTGACATCCTCGGCGAGCTAATTACAACTAAACGAGGAAATCGGTATAATCTCGAGATCAGCGATCGATACTCGAAACTGGTACGAACCGTACCGTTGAAGAAGATATCAGCTGCGCACATCGCACAAGCCTTCGCTCACCATTGGGTATTCGTGTACGGACCGCCGGTCAAGCTGCTGTCCGACAATGGAACACAGTTCACGGCCCGGTTCTTTCAGAATGTCTGCCGAATTCTCGGCATACGCAATGTGTTCACGACCACGTACCACCCGCAAGCCAACGGCCAAGTTGAGAGGTTTAACCGCACGCTGACTTCCGCGTTGCGAAAATATGTTGGAGAGCATCGCAACGACTGGGACCTGTTTAGCGACGCTGCGACGTTCGCATACAACACGCAAGTTCATCGAACTACGAATATCGCGCCCTTCGAGCTGGTGTTAGCTCGGGCGCCGAGAAGCATTGCGTTACAAGCACAGCCAAGTTTGGAAGGATTTAGCTCGAATCGACCGTACTACCTGAAATGGCAGTCGTGGTTGGAAAGCCTGAAGAAAGGCGCTGGTAAGAGCTTGCGGAAAGAACAAGCGCGCTACAAGCGAAATTTCGACGCAAGGCTCCGCAAACCGAGGGATGACATCCCTTCAGGATCATACTTATTCCTTCGGAATGAGCAAGGCACGGCCACCGAGCCGAAACATAAGTTGGCACAAGTGGGTACGGGTCCATATCAAGTGAAGGAGTCAACTGAGAATACGGTCGTCATTGCCATCGGCGACCAAGAAGAGCGCGTGTCGCGTGATCGAGTCGAATTAGCCCCTAGTCCCATGGACTACACGCCGATAATCGGGCTACGACAAGCGCTACAATTCCTCAGTCGAGAAGGGGAACGAGAAGAACCCGCCGCGCAAGCGAACGATAGGACGGATGACGGACCGTTGGTAAATCAGGAAGCTGCGGGCATCCCGCCCGATCTACAAAAAATGGGAGGTTCGGAAGAGCAGGATGAGGATGAGTCGCTGGCTCTTTGGAAGGGGGACGGACAGTTGGACACGTAGGAAGAAGGAGCCGAGAGTCAGGAGTATGTGATCGACAAGATCGTGGACCACGGCTACGACGAGGAGAAATTAATTCTCAAAGTAAGATGGTATGGGTATACCACCGAGGACGCGACGTGGGAGCCCATTGAGCAGTTAATTCGTATCACGGCAGTCACGTATTTCCGAAGGAAACGGTTGCCCCTGCCGGCGCAAGTCGCGCACGCGGTACCTGGATAGCTGTTGTCAAGAAAGAATGCAGAGGGGAGCCAGCAAAGAAGTCAGAAGTTTGAGGAAGCGATGCATGCTGCTTCGTTGAGAAATGGGGAATGTCACCGTACCCCCGGATGAGGTGTTACGCTCGCCTTGATGTCAACGCGTCATCGAAGCCCACACGTGAGCTTAAGATTGAGAGCAGGAGTCTGCATGGACGGGGAACGAAAATTATCCCAGAACTACTAGAGATATACCGGAAGGGGATTCTCGAATGAACAGTACGAGAATTGAGCACCAGTCCTCCCTCAAAATCCTAATCAAAATTGAGGATGGCCGCCCGAAATCGCCGGTTGCCCGCTCAGTTACTGTTGCTAGCCAGGGCTGACCGCACAAATATCGAAGTCAGATCGCGACCGGCGACTACCAATTGCGTATGAAGCAGAACACGTCATTAGCCGGCGGCCCCGTCCAACTCGCTTTGCGGAGAGTTGACAAGGATTAGCGAGGCGCAACGCGCGCTCGCCGGGCAGGAGGTACCCTTTTTAGAGACAGGAGCAGTGTGGATTTAAGACTGACCCCCGACCCCCGCGCAACCCGCGTTTATGGAGAGCCACCAAGCGGAGCAGAGAGGGCAACGAGTAGGGTTGGGAACGAGAGATTGCCGGAGGAGTTGACGTCCCAACGAGACGACACGGTTCACCCGACAGTTGCGAACGACAGGGCCACGACGCGTTTACTGACGATCAGAGTACTTACTAGTTTGCAACGTTAACCCCCCTTCTCTTCTCACTACCTCTTTTCATTGTTTCGGTTTTAGCTGGTTGTTTGTCTTTGTGCGCGTTTGTTTGTTATGTTACGTTTATTTTGTCTGTCGTTGTCTACGACACGACTTTGCCTGGCGCAAGTCGATCAGTGAGTCTGCAACATACAGACGAAGGCTAGTGCCGTGAGAAAAGAAGAAAGAACCGCTGCGGGTGCCTTGTCAAGACAAGTAAGCCCCGACGAGGGAGGAGATGCGAGGTATCGCGGGTCGATTCGACCAAGAGAAGACTGTATTCGACGGGAAAGGCACAGTGTGCACGAGACGGGAAAACTGAAAGGAGACTCTGGAGGGAGAGGAGCCCCACCCCCCCGCTACAGGGGATATTGTTGATTGACGGGAAAGGATGATCAAAAGGGGACGCACCAGTCGCTGACGGAGCTCCGCAAGCCCCGATACAGAGGCTTGTCGAGCAGAAGTAATTACTGACCTAGGCAAGCCCGCGGCAAGGTCAAGCATAGTCCCACCGCGACGTAGTCAACGAATCGTCGATTGCGACTAACACTGACGCCCCTGTAGTACTTCTGGCATACGCGCGACGCACCCACCGATCCGTAGCTATGCCCTACTACGTTTTCTGTTGTGTTTTTTTGCGTTCTCTTTTGTTTCGTTCACCTTTGAGGTCCAGAGGTACGACCGCGTCCTGTGAACGTCGATCAGCGGGTATATCCCATCACAGTGGCCTCGGGAAACGCTGCAGTAGCGTAGAAAGGACGAGACGACGCCGACAAAGAGGAAGGCGTGTCGGGTCGAGCGCATGAAGCGCTGGGTACTTAGAAAACGTGCAAACGGCACGCGCAAGTCCGTACCCGCCGCCACGCGAAGATGCAAACAGGGAAAAGGGGGACACGATCGTCCCGTACGAGATGTCGAAAAAGGAGAGCGACGTTAACCGTCGACAACACCCACAAGCCAGAGCAGGGAAAGAAAGGACTTAGGCGATTTTATCTGAAAACCTCCCTCACCGGAATGCAAGAGCCGCCGCAGTCGTACCACGAAAACGAAAATTTACTGTAGTCTCAGGCTGAGGTCAGATACCTCCTGAGACACAATCACGCGCACGAGACAGGACGCTTGGATCAGAGATCCGCCCTCGTGACGCGCAATTTAATCAAGAAAATACTTGGAGGTCATCAGAGAAACGCTGGATGAGCGGTAAAAGCCGAAAATGGACCAAGGGGGTAACCTTCGAAAATTTAATGAAAAAGCCAGGGGGAAACAGTACTTGTTGGTCGCACGAAAACAGAGGAGCGCTGGCTACAGCCCATGACACAAGTACACCAGGTCACCAGATCACATCGTCGTGAGCCATCGCGCAAGACACTCAACGAGCGGGAGCCTTCTTCCACGGGGCAAGACACAATGCCGCCGTCGGTATGGCCATGTACAATGAGTTCCGTACGTACGCAAAGGACGACCAAACCCCTACCTAAGACCACGGACTCCTGTTCTCGCGACCCGCCTCCCTGATCGAGGCAGCTGAAAAAAAATGAAGAAGAGAGAGCAGAGAAATGGTAATCCTCACGTCAACGAGGACCGATTTGTGACGTCTCATTGAGAAGGCAATCGGGAGTTTCGCGCCACCTTCCAACAAGAACGATCCGGAGCACCAAGGCGAGGAGAGCAACTCCGGAGTAGAGAGATCGTCGATCGAGGAGCTCATTACCAATGACAGAGCTGTGGCTCGACGCGACTGACGACGTCAAGCTCACGTTCTCGTTGTTACCACAAGCGAACTACCGAAACGACATCCTTCTCTTATTTACTCTACTGTCTCGCACATTGACCCTCTTACTGCTTTCCTATGTTTTTTATTTGCCCTAAGTTCCTGTGCATTTTTATTTTATCTCACTTCTTGTTGTGAAGATCTAACACGACCCCACGCCGCGACATCGACATTAAGGACGACCGACAGGACGTCGATCATGACGAGACCCCCCGTTGGGAGGGAGATAAGTCAGGAGATCAAGACCGCTACGCACGACGTGCGGAGTTGAACAAATAATTGGAGGCACGCGGAAGATGGGACGGACGTGTATAGCACGAAAGGAAGAGAAGTGCACACTCGCCGAGTGTTTGACATCGCTACTGGAAGATGTACAGTAAGAGGCGGTCGGTGACTAAGGAAATCCGGAACGCCACTACGTGAATGACCACTCCGAAGTTCTTTAAATTGATATTCTTTCATGATTCTGAATTGGGGCGTCCCCATCGTGGGTCGCTCGCAATTAACGACCAGTCAAATAGGCGCTGATGATGGTCGGAAAGCATTCGTAAGCAGCGTGTGTTATCACGTTATGGAAGATGCCAGGCGTAGAAATGAGTATCGGAAAACGGGACGAATGCCGTTGACTGAATGAACGCCGAGCCAGCAACCCTACACGGCAGCGGTAATGCTGTGCCGTGGATAAGAGACAACGCACGGTAGTGCGGAAAACCTATCACGAAAGATCTTTTCGATCACAGAGGGTTGGTCGCGACGTTCGAAAGAAGCCGGGCTGTGCGCGACGAAAGCTCAGTGAAGGTACAGCTAGCAGGAGACCCGAACCTTCCTTCGAAAAACTGATGAACTCTGATGACATCACTCCGACGAGAACAGATCTTCACAGACCCACACGCCCACAGACGTTCGGATTCCACGAGGCGACATGAGGATTCGCACTCAAGTACAAAGGAGATGGGACACAGGATCGAAGCCATCGCAGGGGATACTGAACAAGGCGGGTTCATTGGACAGAGGGAACCCCTAATCACGAATTAATATATTCCTCGACGACATAACTGGGCGAGTAAGGGAACAGCCGGACGGGGAAGAAAGAGGGGAGCCTTATTAGAGGCAACAGGAGCCACAGACACCAGCGATGAAGATACACGCGTACTCTTAAGAGCGTGTACCTTGCGGAGACGCAGGAAAAATATAAAGAGGAGGAATGCGGGATGGAAGTCAAAAGAAGAGGCATTCATTCCACCACACCAGAACACCGCTATCAGAGCGTCACCTTGACGGGGTCGTCGGTGATGCAGGTTTGAGGACGAATGAGGAGGGAGCCACGGGATCCGCTCTTGAAAGAGGGGCGTGCGGGCCCCATCAAAGCGTTGGATAAAGAGGAGGAAAAGGAAAATGAGGAGACGGATGACGTACGTGTGGGATAAAAAGAAGAAAAATGCAAAAAGAGGAGGAAGTGGATAGGAAAAGGGAATGCAATTTATTTTCGGTGGAACGAAGGGAAGTGTCGACGATGAGACGACACCCTCAGAGGGCAACGATCCGAACATGGATCGGCCGGACGCTATCATCGGCAATGGGTCAATGGGACGATTCACCCAAGGATTTTTTTCTTTGGAAGTGAGGCGACAAGTTGCGCCAGTAAGCGCAGGTCAACGAGGGACGCTCCTCGAAGAGCCCCCTCGTTTAATCCGTGAGCACGGAGCAATGTGCGATAGACGCTGGCGGCGCCGTCGTTCTTTTTGATAACATCTGGAGAGGACGGGGAGGTCGAACCTCCCCTGGTCGATTGGACTGCGTCGACGATTGGTGACAAGGGGGCGGCAACCGAAACAGCTGCAGGAGAAGGGGGACGAGCTGGGACGTGCACAGGGGAAGACGGTGCAGGAGGAGCCAAGGGGGTAAGGGACAAAGAATTTCCCTTCCTTTCTGGGGCTGCGCGCACGGACAGACTGTCAGTCCGGCTAGCTGACGAGGGGACCTCTCTCGTCTCTGATAGAGGTTGACACCTGACCACTGGAGGTGAATGGGACCGCAAAGAGGATTTGACCTCCTCACACTCAGGGGCTCTCGTCGCCCTTATCGAAACATTCACGGGAAGAGTGGGGTCGGCCGGATCGACAGGAAGTGAAGTCGGTGAGACCGGTAACACAGGACGAGAACGCAAAGGCTTTCTGGGACAGAGGTCGCGCTCGCGGGTATCCGCAAGGAAGACGGGCAATTCAACCGGAACGGGCGTCTGGCTCCCATACTGCCGACTCAGACGCGCCTCGTCGCAAGAACATTGCGATCCCGTCCAGGGGTTAAACCAAGCGTAGTCCCCCGCACCACGATGAGCACGACCAGGAGAGAAGGAGGTGCGTCGCCGGACGAAGGAACGAGAGGAATTTTGACGCGGTATCGAGTCCCAATCGACCTCCTCTATTTTATCGAGGAGAGAATGCAGTTCGGTGTCTGCATCAGCGCCGCCCAGGGGAATCGAATAATCGAGGCGTCGCATGAGGCTGATGAGCTGGGGAGGCAAATGCCACAACCTCCAGCAGTCGTAGGTCTCCCAGAGGAGGGTCACTGCCACTTTGGTACACCACTCTGTGAGGAAGACTACCCAAAGGCCATGTCGAGGATCACGTAAATACCTTTCGTAATACGTTTACACAGGGCCGAGCTCAGCCCAGAAGCCTTGGCAGACCTCAAATTGGTTCCACCACGACGGAATACGTTGATAACGATTCGCGTAATGGCACCTCGCGATTTCGCGCGCCTCCAACATCTGGTAGGCCACAAAATAACCCGTGTCAGACGGAATACGGCGTTCGAAGCGCACTGTGTGCTGGAAGAAGGGGATGGTACCCGGCTTGATAAGTCGGAAATTAGCCGGAATTAGGGCGTTGGTCCACATCATAGCGTCGCCCGAGACGGTCCGTTGGTTGAACCAAAGGCGGTTAGCTTCACGAGGAGGGTTATCGGAGGTCCAGGCCAGCATGTTATCGAGGTAAGACCGCTCGCCCTCGGTGCGAAACTGCCACGTGTCACAACCGAATTCCTCAGGGATGAGATCCTGCGTCAATGGCAGCTCAAGCCTGTCGCACACAGCGGTCATGAAGCGGGTTGATAACACCTCACGACCACGGGGCGGAGTGTGACACAGGATGGAGGGAGGAATGGCGATGCGAGCAAACCAATCGTAAGACAGAATAGCTTGAAGGGGGATTTGTCCTGGAAGCATACCGGCGCCGTCGGCGAACGAGTAAACAATGTCATCGAAGGCGCATACACCGATCACTGAGAACCATTTAGCGGAAGCAAAAAGTTCAGGATTAAGGCGCATGGCCTTATCGTGGAGCTCCGACGCAGCAGGGTATCGACGCGAGGACGGAGTGTTAGGACCGGAATCAATGTGGGCAACAGGGCCGGCATGTTGGGAATCAGGGGGTAATCGAGGGATGGAAGGAAGACTTAGAGGGTCGTGGGAAGTGGAAGAAAAGCCCACGCCGTAGCGCTTGCGTTTGGTACCACCATTAGAGTGGCTCGGGGATGAAGGAAACATGAGGCCCGTCTTGCTCTTGCACTTTCACCGATTACCGGATACGGCGGTGTAGGGTTATGAGAGAATCGGCGAGGAGATTATACGATGGAGGAGCGGCGTACAAGAGCGCTCGGAAGGGGGATATGTAGTGCAATACGCACCTGAAAAGGGGGGTGAAAAGAAAGGAAAATATTTGGATATGAAAAGTAGTCCCGGTTGGGGGACACAAGTGTGAATAATTGCACAGTTTTAATTTTTTAATTATTTTATTTTATTTAGTTAATTAGTTGGCATTAATTTTGCTGACATTAGATTAGATCTAGGATCTAGCGCCGCGAGCTACTGTAGTGGCTCCGGCGGGGCGATATATACCTTAGCCCTCTGACCACCAAGTCAGTAAAGGTAACCCGAGTTGCCGGAGTTGAATGTTGCCTTGGTCGAAGTCCGTCTCTACCAAGACGCCCCCTTTTACCTAAGCCTACGGCATCCTTCAGCGCTCGGGGGTCCCATTCCTTTTACCTTTTCTATCTCTAATTCCTATCCTTTTCTATCTCTACCTCTACTTTTCCCTTAATTGTGTTGGTTCCATTGGAGTCGGTTGCGACCTATCCGGTGTAGGTGTTTTAGCCATCGGGCAAGACGTTCTGTAGCGCTGCTACTGTTTCAAGTTCCGTAGGAAGGCTGTTGTAACGACGCCTCCGTCGAAGGTCTTACTGTATAAGACAGAGTTGGTACCGCCTACCGCGATCGCGATCGCGCTGGTGAGGGTGTTTTTAGCCATCGGGCAACACGTCGGTAGTAGCGTTGCTACACGGTTACGATCCCGTCGGGTAATGCTGAACAAGCCCCCGTCGAAGACCTTGAATTACACACAAGGTGCTGAAGACGCCCGTCGAGCATTGGCCTTACAACCCAGCGAACCGCGGTTACATTCTCGTAGACAAGCCCAACCCGCACTCGTCGAGCGCTCAAGTCTTCACAAGTCTCTACCACCATTATCCTCCCGGGCCGGGTATCTTCTCTTAACCCCCCCGTCGGAGTCGAGCTACCGTGGGCCGCAAGCCCACACAAGGAGAAAGGGAGTCTCGAACGCTCCGTAGCGCGTGCCATCGGCAGTGGTTGTTGCTGTTGTTGTTTTTCTTCTTTTTGTTTTGACCGTCGGACTGTGTTCGCGGCCTTCCAGGCACATTGCACTACAAGAACATATCACAGTTCGCACAACGGCTTCGCGCCGCCGCCGTAGCGCTTCCAGAGGCTGTCACCGACGTGCGGCTGCTCGACCGCTTCACGCAGTCCCTGAGTGGACGATTACGATATCATGCACTCGCTGTGCAAGGATCCTTTGATGGTGTCGCTAGTCGTGTGGCCATGATGAGCGGGACGAAAGGGAACACGCCGAGGGAATCCACATTCAGATCTGAGCGCATCCGGGCAATCGCAGATGGAAGTGACCCAATACCAGAGCCAAAGACGGAGGGTGTGGCCCCCGAAGTACCCCTCCTCGCCCCTCACCACCAATGAGCGCTTCGCAAATGCGTTGTGCTACTACTGTGGCGTGAAGGGTCATATCGC